TATATATATATATATATGTATATGACACACACCCACCCCTTTAATAAGGTACCCCTCACAGTGGGTTAATATAGTGGCAGTCTGAGTCCACCATCAGATGGTGAATCTTCCGTAGAGATTTACAGCTTCTGAACCATGAGGGGCAGGAACCAAGTCAACAGCACTGGGTTTGAAAGGTTTTCTTCTAGAAAACGTGAGGGTTCTGTTTCTTCTAATATCTCACACGTCGTCTACGAAGTAAGTGTGCAGTAATAGCATATGAACAAGTTTGGAATATTTCAAGAATGACCAGAATGTGACACAGATACACAGCGAGCATGTACTGTTGGGAAAACGGAGCCGACAGGTATGATTTGGTCAACACAAGGTGGCCACCAGTGGTCAGGCTGCAACAAACCCAGGATCTCTGAAGCCCAGTAGAGCGAACTGCAATAAAGTGAGGCCTGTCGACAAGGTTGCCGACAAGGAAAGATGGCCAGTGCTGTGGACCTGTGGACAGGTGGGTGTCAGAGAGTGTCTCCATAAGGAGACTTGGGGCACAGTGAGTCACATGTTGGACTGTTAACCAGAAGGTCGGCAGTTTGAATACATCGACCTCTGGGAAAGGGAGAGGCGAGGCTATGGGAAGCCAAACTTTATACCAAATATTATATGAAAACCCTTGTTCAGGAATTGAAGGAATTACAGATACAGATATATAAGTTAGGATTTCTCTTGTGTTTGTTCCCTGCAAGACAGGAGACAGCAAGGGGCCCCCTACAGAGGGAGTGTTACTTCCTGAGCTAGAGTTCACCCTGAGGCATCAAGGTTAATAGATAAGGGTAAACCAAATTCTTGCATTTGTGAACCCCTCCTTCCTGAGTCAAGCAGAAGGTTTTCTATAGAAAGAGCTTGGCTTCATTTGCATTGAATTCTCTTTGTGATTTACTTCCTGATAATTTTCAATAAAGACACAGAGAAGCTTGGCTTGGGGTCTTCAGTGGAGAACTGCTGGCCCCCTGTTTTATACTCTCTGCTCTATCACATTCCTGGCTGTTTGTCTCTTTATTAATAATTATAAAATTATTCCATTCTTTGGGACCCTTGGTCTGCAACATGAGGCAATGTGCCCCATTGAGATTTACAGCCTAGGCAACCCAGTGGAGTGAGCGGGAGTTGGAGTTGGCTTGAGGGCGGCAGCGGTTTGGTTTGCTTTTTGGAGGAATTCTCGGGTTCCTTTTCCCTGGAGCGCCTGGCCCCACCACCCGGCTCTGTCGCCTGCCCCCACTCTCCCAGCCTTCCCGTTCATCAGCTTTGTGATCCCAGACAAGACCTGTGTTTCTCCATCTGTGTGGTCACAGTGAGCTTATCCGTTCATTGAGAGGGTTCAGAAAGATGTGATCTCCTAAAGAACACGTCCTGCCAGGTGTCAGTCACTGCCATCCAAAGCAAGCAGCGGGCAGGGAAGTGAGACCTGGTGAGCCAGGAGCCCCAGAAGTGCCTTGTGGTTCTGGGTTTCGAAGGATTTCTGGGTTTGGCAGGGTTCAGTCTCACACTCTCCTGTCCCCCTCTCTTAGAGGAAAGGATTTGGGGTTTCCTCTCTAACAGCTTTCCACCTTACACAGGTTCCAGCTCTCACAGGCATCACTGGACCTGGCTGTGCCGAGCCTGTCCCCTCTGCAGTGGGGTAAGAGGGTGACTCTTTCCTCTCTCTCTCTCTCTCTCCCCTCCCCCGTAGGTGATCCCCTCACTCCCCCAGGCCTCGTACAGGACAGGCCCTGGTGGCACAGTGAAGTAAGCTGACGGAGAAGTTGGTGGTCTGATCCACTAGCTATTCCTGATGAGAAAGGAGGCAGCCTGCTTCCTGAGGATTGCGGCCTGGAGACCCTGCGGGAGCCTCTGCTCTGGCCTGTGGGGTCTGTGAGCCGGGATCCAGGGGCCACTCAATCACAGAGGGTTTTGTTTTTTTTTTTTTCCTTTCTTTCCAGAACTGGGGCAGAGGTCAACAAGAACAGAAGGAAGGAGGGCCAGGCCTGCTCATAGGGTGGGCCAGTTTCTCCCCTCCCAGCACCCCCACTGTGGCTCCAGCACCCACAAGGGAGCAAGTGGAGGAGGGTTTTAGAATGCCAGTTTCAGGGGAAACAAAAGCTCTTTGTCATTTGTTTCTGGACGAGGAGGGAGGCCGAGGGACCAGCGGCCTGTGGCTTGTCTCCCTTCAGGTTTCTGGGAAGACTAGGGAGGGCAGGTCAGAGAGGGCACACAGACCCCAGCCCGTGTCAGATTGCGCACCTGATCTGCACCCACATCACCCTCCCAGGAGCCAGTCCTGAAAAAGATGGCCTCCTCGGCCTCCCCACTGAGATGAGACCTGATACATTTGGGCTGGAGCCTCTGCAGCCCCCCAACTCGCTGTGATTCCATGGTGCAGTCAAGCTTGAGGAACTGCCAAACTGGAGAGGATTTCTGTATGAGGGATAGACACCTCACCCCCCGAAAATCCTAAACACATTCAGCCCAAAGTCAGCTTGGGGAAGCTGCTAGAGTCAGGTGGAGGTCCCACCCTTGGTGAATCATACGCGCCTGGGAAGACCCAGGGACAAGTCGTGCATTTTTCATGAAATGAAATTCATGCCAGGTCATATTCTTGCTCATTTCTTTGGCTTTAAAATGTTCTTTCATGAAATATCACTTGCAATAAATAGCAACTGGCAATCCTGTGTCAGTCCTCAACCTCTCTCGTCTTCCCTTCTCTTTAATTTTACAAAAGGAGTCGTGGTGGCATACATTAGGCTGCTACCAGAAAGGTCAAAGGTTGGTAGCCACCACCTCCTCCCTGGAAGCAGACAGTCAAGATTCACAGGCACAGAAATATGCTACACGGGGCTACTGTGGGAGGGGATCGGCCAGCGGTAGCAGGTTTGGTTCTGAGTCTACATCTGGAAATCGCTGTTTTGGAATCCCTGACCTGTGTGAGTAAATTTCTAACCTGGAACTAGGAGCCTGCCCTTGGGCTCTGGGACTCCACAGACACTGTCCCCGCCATCCTGTGGCTTCCTTCTCCTCTGTGGCCAGCCAAGTGGTTCAGAGCCCCTCATGCAGAGGGCCACACAGCCCACGCTCCTGGAGTGCCAGTCCCTCCTACCCTGCGTCCCTTCTAGACTAAACACCCACTTCTTCCATTCTCTCTTTTTGACGGCATAGTGGTTAGAGCATCCACCTGCCAAGGAAAACCTCATGAGTTCAAGCCCACTAGCGACTTCACAGGAGACACCCTGAGTGGCAGTTCCGCCCTGCAGGAATGGATACTCCTGGCAGCGGGTGTGTCGTGACCTCTCTGTCTCCCTGGGGACTCAGCTACCATGGAGACGCCACCCAGAAACAAGAAAGCAATGCCTGAGTGCTCAGTTTGTCCTCGACTTTTAGGATATGTAATGGCATACAGTAAGCTTCTCTGAGTGTTGCATTAAATGCTTTTGAAGTGTGTGTACTTATTTTAAGTATCTTGACAAAAATTGGGGGAGCTCTGGCAGTGGTGTCTGCGGGAAGCTGTACTGCTAACTCAGGAGCCAAGCATCTCTGGTGGTTCTAATCCACCAGCAGGTCCGTGGCGGAGAGGCAGTCTCCTCCGTGCTTTGGAAACCCAACAGAAGGTCAGCTGAGAGTCTCAACTTGATGGCAGTACGTTTACGGACAATTAGCAAAGACCCACTTTGTCATCATTTCATACTGGCTTGTGCCTTCAACTGGACGTAGAAGTGGCTGTAATTTCTATGGAAGCAAACGACCAGGACTCGTTCCTTTTTTGTTACACTGAGTGGTGTGAACCTGCACGTTTTCAGGTCCCTGTGGACCGCAGACCATCTGCACCACACGGGGACTGAAAGGACCCATTTTCTTTAACACCCAGCCCTCCTCATCCCTCCACACATGATTCCAGGGAGACTCTCTCCATACCACCTCCTGGAGAACCCTTTCAGACGGGACCTGGACTCTACGGTCTGTAACCGAATGTCATTATTTTGCAACTGACCCCTTGCTTCCCAAGATAATACACTAACAGACGCATTTTGTTTCCACCCTATGGGACCTGGAATGAGTTTGCTGGGACTCAGTGGGTAGACAAGTGCGTGAGCTCAGGGAAAGGAGAGGCAAGCAAAGTGTGGGTGCCTCCAGGGCTCCCCAAACTCCCAGGCTAGCTCTGCTTGACTGGCCACCCAGAAGGAAAGCTAAATGCCTGTGAAGTCTTGGGTAACTGGAACCATCACCTGCCAAGGGCAGACTCTCAGATTTCTCCTCGTGGGTCCAAGATGAAAAGAAGGTGCCCAGGGCAAACGGAGGGCGGGAGCCCACAGGAGGGGGACTTGGACTGTGACCAGTATCAGCCCCAGTTCAGGGAGTGTGCCCGGACTGGTGCTTACCAAACAGAGCAGGGAGGAGGGAGGGGAGCGGGTGGGTGGGCGGAGGGCAAGCCTGGCCCCGGTGCCGGCTGGGGACCCCCGGCCAAGCTGGAAACCCGGACACTTGGACTCCAGCCTTAAAAGATCGAGTCTGGAGGTGGGACGTTGCCCAGGACAGTTCCCGTCATGGGACACGGGAGAGTCATTCCGATCAGGGCAGGCGTGAACCAACGTGCCAGACGCGCCCGCGTGGATCCAGAGGTGGGACCCCGCTGAGAGTTTGCCCCGGTGGAGGCTCCAGGGGCGCAGGGTCCCGGCAGGGAGCCACCCTCGAGGGCTGGCCCCAGGCGCCCCAGGCTGAGCCCGCGCCCTCCCCGTCGGGCCGAGCGCGCACCTACCTGGCCCGGGCCACCGGCGTGGGATGCGAGCCCCTCGCCGAGGAGTACAGGGCGAGCAGGAACCCCGAGGCGGACGCCAGCAGCAGCAACAGCCGCCGGAGGCCTGGGCCGCGCGGGAGCCCCATGCGCCCCAGCCGCGGGCACGCCGTCCGCTGCTAGCCGGGAGAGGGACGTCCCGAGGGCAGGGCCGCCCGGCGGGGTGACGCCCTGTCCCGCCCGCCCGGTCGAGGGGAGGGCCCGAGTCACGCCTGCGGGGTGCAGGGCGCAGGGGAGAGGCCACCTGCCGCAGAGGCCGCGCACTGCGCTTCCTCCAAAGGTCCCGCGGGCAGTTTCTGGGACCTGGCACCCCCCCCCCCAGCCCGTCCTTCGAACCTGTTCTGGGGGGTGGGTAGGAGCTGGCCGGCTTTCAGGCCCCCATGGGATGGCATTCCTCTTACAGAAGGACCACAAGCTGGTCCCCGCATCACCAGGAAGGGCAGGGAGTAGGATTTGGGAGTAACAACAGGGCTTAGGGAAGGGAATCCGGGGCTTAGAACCCCCAAACCCTGTGCAACACTCCAGATTCCAGGAGCTTGCAAGGAGGCGGGAGGCCGGCCCTGGCCACATTCCCTCTGTTCTGCCTGTTGTGGAGCCTGGATGCCGCCGTAGTACGCCGTAGTACCTCCGGGACAAGGCTCCCCTAAAAGGCTCGGGGCAAGAGGTTAGCCAGACGCATGCGCTTAGGAGCAGGGTCACGCACTCACACACACCGGGTACCCCAGGTGCTGGGCACTCAGACACACCTTGCTGCTTCTTTGCTGAGGCAGCCAGTACAGGTAGTTCGAACCTGTGCCATAGTCCCCAACACCTGACTTTTGGGGAGTAGAGCATAAGGATTTTCTCCTGAGGCCACTCTGCGCGGACCTGAACTTCCAGTTTTTTGTTGGCAGAAAGTAGCGTGTGCACCACCCATGAGTTCTTGCTGATGGATTTAGGGGCTTAAGTCTTTCTGTTTCAGTGTTTATGGTTCTCAGCCCCCCAAATCGTGAACATGCTACTGTGTTTCCTAAGTGTGTTGAGCCCCTAAACTCCATCCCCGCTCCTCCCTCAGTAAATCCCTTACCTTTCACCTCATGGAAGACAGGAGAGCCTCTGTTTATAAAGGTACCCTGAGGCTAAGCGGTTAAAAATTTGTGGCAGTTGAAAAGCAAGGAACTCGTGAAATATTATACAAAATGGGTGACCCTGGAGGACATTATGCTGAGTGAATTATCTCAATCACAAAAGGACAAACACTGCAAAGTGCCACTGTTGTAAAATAGGACTGACATCCGGGTTAGGGGGAGACTAAGAAAGACTATACTGCATTGAAAGAGATGAGGGAGAGAGCTGTTTAAAACGATATGTGATTAGGTATTATTGTCATGACAGGAGTCCAGAAGGAAGGCTGCACAGTGGAGTGGCCTTGGGGGAAGGATTGCATAACAATGAAAGAATTTTTCTTTTCTTTTTCAAAGAGAAGAGTGAATTAGAGGGGAGGGGTGGGCAGGGAGAAAAGTGCAACAATGAGTGAATGGAAACCCAAAGTCTCTGTAAACTTTCATTAAAATTAATTTAAAAAAAATTCTGCGGCTAAGAGAAAGGTCAGCTGTTGGAGCCCACCAACCACTCCTTGGGGAAAAAGAAAGTGTGTCGTTTCTGTAAAGGCCACAGCTCTGGACACCGTGTGGAGCAGTTCTGTTTTTACATGGCTGATGGTGCTGTGAACTGGATTTGTGGACAGGGAATTGTTGTTAGGTTCTGTGGAGTTGAATATGACCCACAGTGACCCTATGAACCCTGTCATATCCTGCACCATCCTGACACACTTGAGCCCATTGCTGCAGTCATCTTGTCAATTCATCTGGTCAAGGGTCTTCCTCTCCGTCGCCGACCCTCTACCCTTCCAAGCGTCATGTCCCTCTCTAAGGAACAGCCCCTCCTAGCAACATGCCCGAATTATGTGAGTCAACGCCTCATCATCCTTGCCTCCAAAGAGCACTCCGGCTGCACCCTCTCCAAGACATATTTATTTGTTCGGTTGTTATGTGCCATTGAATCACCTGTGACTCATAGCAACCCTGTGTACAACAGCTCTGAATCCTGCCCTGTCCTGAGCCAGTCTTACTGACTCTGCACACCTAATCCCATGGCCCCAGTTATTGGGTCAGTCGGTCTCATCTGGGGTCTTCCTCTCCTGTTCTGTCCCTTCGCCCTTCCAAGTGAGATGTTCTTCTCCAAGGACTGGTCTCTCCTGATCATGTGCTCAAAGTACGTGAGACAGAGTTTCAAAATCCTTGCCTCCAAGAAAAAACTTGGTTTCGCTCTCTCCAAAGACCTGTTTATTTTCCTGGTGGTCCATGATATGTTCAAGACTCTTCTTCAGCACCACAACTCAAAGGCATCAATTCTTCTGTCATCCTTAGTCATTGTCCAGCTCTCTGATGTACATAGTATGGTGTAGCATTAAACTTGCAAAATTAGCCACCGCTACATCCAACGTCAAGGGGGTCCTCTTCTCAGGAACCAGAGCTGGCACCCCACCTGCCTCAGTGACATAGACCCAGGGGTGCATTAGCCAATAAATAAGGGACACAACTGGGTTTAC